AGATGTTTGACAACTGACTCACATTTATGACGGTTACAATGTCCCAGAGTCATGTGATTCCCCTTTACCGGCCTTCTGACAAGCCAAATCAGATTCACTTAACAAACATGTGACTAATTTAAGCACTGCAGTGATTCACTTAACAAATGAGCTACCATCACAGGAAGAAATTATTAAGAAAATATTGGAATGTGCTGAAATGAGTAGATTGACATTTGAAATTAGAGAACAAGAAGATGAAGTTTGGGACCTTTTCTATCAATGATTAGATAATAAAATATAATAATAGAATATTTAGAACCTTAGGAAACAATGAATACATATTTCTTTTTTTTCTTTGATACTATCTTTATAAAATTTTATTAAGATAGACTTGGTATGACTTTATGATTTGCTATAAAATAAATTAAGTAAGCTATAGTTATCTCGTTAAAGTATGAATTAATAAAATTATAGTCAAATGATTGTTTAATAATGATATCAGGCTATATAATTGTTGATTGATAATATGAGCTATTATGTAATATAACTACAATGGTGACTTTGAAATGGATGCACACAAAAAAAGTGGTAAACCAACCGACACACTGTCTGTAAACTCATGAAGGAAAGGATGGTGTTTTTTATGTTTTATGTGTTTTTGTTTGTTGTTAAAATTAATAAAACTGTTTTCAAAAAAAAAATGAGCTGAGAAAAGTACCAAAATGAACAAATTTCTCACATAGCAACATAAATGTTGGGCTCAACTGTAGTCATAAGTTGAGGGCTACCTGTATAGGAAATTAGCTGGATTTTTTTTTATTTTTTGGTCTTCGTTATCATTAAGTCACCAAATGTGATGGGCAGAGTGGGGAATGATGGATAGGGAACATAGAGAAAGAGATGGTAGTGAAGGATGTGGATTTTCTGCCTTTCAAACACAGGGATCCAACCTGGGTCTTCTTGAGTTCCACCTATAAACCTTCTATAACATTCTTAGCAACCTAGAATGAGGGAGAAATTTCCTGACAGTGAGAACAATTGAGATGTGAAGTAGGAATGAAAAGAAGGAAGAGGAAGAGCCCAATGTGAATTTGAAAGGAGGGGCTTATGTCGAGAACTCTTTTCCCACCCCAGAAACACCGATGGGAACTCACCCTGGGTGAAAGAGAACCTCTATAGCACCATGGATCCCATTCCTAACCACCTGAGCAGGGTCAGAAGAACGCTATGACCGATTGATATAGAACAAGGGTGTCAAACTCAAGGCCCGCAGCCCAGATCCGGCCCATGGGGTGCTTAAATCTGATCCCCAGGGCCAGCCTGGAAACACCAAAGGATTGGCTCGCGGTGCCTCTGCCAGAGAAAATGGGACTCAAGAGGGCTGCGCGCATGCTTCCCAGGCACCGTTTTCACTGGTGGAAGGCTATCAAAAGAAACTAAAAACAAAACAAAAGGAGAAATGTTTCCCCTTTTGCATCTGAGCATCCCAAAAGGAACAGGGAAGGAGGAAAGAGAAAGAAGAGAAGATGGGAAGAGAGCAAGGAAGGAAAAAGAAGGAAAGGGGAGAAGGGAGAAGAAATGAAAAGGAAGAGGGAAGAGGGAAGGAGAAGGAAGGAAGGAAGGAAGGAAGGAAGGAAGGAAGGAAGGAAGGAAGGAAGGAAGGAAGGAAGGAAGGAAGGAAGGAAGGAAGGAAGGAAGGAAGGAAGATTATAATGAGAGGGAGGGACAGTCTGAGGGAAGTCCGTCCTTAGTATTTGGCCACCACAGTTGCCCCTGACACGAGTGCTACCGAACTGGCCATACCCACCCCAGCCTCCCAACATCAACCCCCATCCTGATGTGGCCCTCAATGAAATCAAGTTTGACACCCCTGAGACAGAAGGTTAGACCAAGAGAGTTTCCATCCTGTCCCCAACAGAGATGATTTGCAAGCCCAACCAATGCCATTTTAGCACTATTCCCAAATCTGACCCTGTACTGAAATCTTCTTCCTTTGGGAGCCCAACAGCATCTCAACAACCTTATGCCAAAAAATAACCAAACTTGAAAACTGGACAATAATTGCCACTGCCGTTGGGTACAACCGTGGTTTCTTGAAGATAGTTTAAGACCGCAAGGGGGAACCATTGAAGTCCTTCTTATAGCTCTGGTTTTGGTAGACTAGAAAGCATGCTGCTAAAATTTAAAAACACGCAAGAATTGGAAACTGGGCTATTCACTAAAGAATAATTTAATATTTCAGGCAAGAAAATAGGCTTAGCCTTGACCAGAAATGGTATTCAACAGGTTGTGACCAGTTCTGGAGAACCGGTAGTGGAAATTTTGAGTCGTTCAGAGAACTGGCAAATACCACCTCTGACTGGCCCTGCCCCCATCTATTTGCTGCCTCCTGAGACCCAGCTGATCAGCTGGGTCTCCTTTGGTTGCCCTGCACAGGAGAATGGAACTGGAAAGCAGGTTAGGTGGGTGGGGAGGGAATGGAGATTTTGTAGTAATCTTACCCCGGGAATGGGGAGGGAATGGAGATTTTACAGTATCCTTCCCCTGGAGTGGGGTCAGAATGGAGATTTTGCAGTATCCTTCCCCTGCCATGCCCAACAAGCCACGTCCAAAGAACCGGTAGTAAAATTTTTTGAACCCCTTTAAAAAGCTAAAACTGTGATGGAAAAACAGGAAGTAAGTAACTTCTACAATACAGCCTTCCCCCACAGGCACAACGAAGCACGCAAATTCAACAGGCATAACATTCCAAACTGTTTGCCCTGATATTGCGATTATGCCTAAAAGAGCTCTCATACACCTATATATATATACATAGACTATATCACCTTAAGACAAGTGAAGAAGTACAAATTATGCACAGCATGTATGGTTTTCTTTGAAAGTGCAGTAATAATTCCTGTCTTTCCAGCGCCTGATGATTCGTTAACACTGGCAGCCAATTATACCAGACAGGGCTGGAGAGAAACATAGCTAGGTTGGCTTAATAATTACAGATGGGAAGAGGACTTTCGAAACAGTTCGTTCCAAATTTTTTGGGAGCTCTGTTACATATTCTAGCCCCCCCCCTTTTTTTTTTCATCTGCTTGTTTCCTTGAATGCTAATAACGAAATCATGCACGCATCTATTTTGCTGTCAATTTGATGTAGTCTTCCCCCCCCCCCTTTTTTTTTTTTAAAAAAGAAAGGGCTGGGACCTGAAAGCATAATTGGCGATGCTTGGTGCTGCCTGTGTGATAATTTATGGAAATGCATGAGGCTGTTGGGGGGTTTGGGGTGGCGCTGCTGTTTCCGAGAGAATTTTGCTGAGTCAGTGGTTTGCAATGCACAGCTATCTTGGTTGGGATCTGTTATGAGGAGGATGGAATTTGCAAAATCTTGGCTCCAAGAAAAGTTGGCTGAATGCAATAGCAATAGCACTTTGAGTTATATACCACTTCATAGTGCTTTACAGCCCCTCTCTAAGCACAAAATCAGCCTATTGCCTCCAACAATCTGGGTCCTCATTTTACCCACCTCGGAAGGAGGGAAGGCTGAGTCAACCTTGAGCCTGGTGAGATTCGAACTGCCACATTGCTGGTAGCTGGCAGTCAGCAGAAGTAGCCTGCAGCGCTGCACTCTAACCACTGCATCACCACGGTTTATATGCACTGTATGGAGGCAATGTTAACAAAAATTTGCATAGGGAACCTTATTATCAGATTATATTCTCTGGGTCACCTATCTGTATGTCATATATAGTTGTTTTATAGGACCACGGTGGCTTGCGTGATTAGGACCCTGGGCTGGGTGTTTGAGACCCGAGTGCTGTGGGCTGGGGTGAGTTCCCTTCCTTCGCTCCAGCTCCTGCCGGGGGAAATGAAAGGACCCCCTAACTGGGCATCCCTTGGGCAATGGTGATGTCTCCAGCTAATCATTTCAGCCCAGAAGTGCCTTAGTGTGTGATGCTGTAGAAGGTCAGCACTACCACCCCCGGAAGAATGAAATATTTTGGGAAATATTTAAAAAGGCAGAATATTATATTTCCCTAATGGAGAAATATGTTTTTTTTAAAGACAGAAAGCAGACTCAGTCTTTCTTAATAGCCCCCAGCAGATATTTTGTGCCCATTAAGAAAGATTGGGCCAGCCTATTCAGAAACCAGCCCCAGTTTCCCTGCCCGCAAGCAGAAACTGAGGAGGCCATCTTTTTGAAATGCAGATTTAGAAATCAGTTCAGAAAGAATGCATCAAGACAGAAACTCAGATAAGCAACCAACAAAAGGTTGGCAGAATTAGCTCAGCCAAACACTTAGGATTTACACTTCCCCTTTTGCCTATAGAGCCAGCCATGACCCCTACATGACCCCTACATGGCCCCATGGGAGTCTGACAACAGCCAATAGAATACATGTTCTTGCACAGGAACAGGAAGCTCAAGTGCAAAGCCCAAAAGAAGGTATCAAAAACACTCCATTCTCAACTCCATTTTGTCAGCTGCCCAGAACCACAAACCCATGTGCTTCTGTTTCATCAATAAACCATCTTTCCAATCAGCCTCTATGTTTCCAGGGTCTTTCTCCTGGCTTGGAACTGAACCAGATGGATATTCCTTCCCATAATGTAATATAATGGTTCTTAATAGTCCAGTGTGTGATAAGCCCTGGACTGGATACTTTTATATCAGACTCTAGGAATCTAAATGGGACTCAGTCCCTGTTTTCACTGGGATAATGCACACACCCACTCCTGCTTCTTTTCTGTTTCCTTAGCTTTGGGTAAATGGGGTACACAGGTTTCCACCTGCATGAGAAAAGTTGGAGGACGTACATCCTAGTTTAAGATTTAACAAAGCATCTTTGAAAGTTGGGCTCCTGGACCTGGAGCATCTTGCTCCATAGTTTGATTTGAACTTTCATCTAAAAAAAAAAAACCCGTGTCATAGCTAGCAACATTTAATAGACCATCAGTTCCCTTAAATTGTTTTCTATTTCATCTCAGCAGCCAGAGTTCACCACAGTCCCAGTCCAAAATGCTCACCTGTATCTCTGGTAGTCTCCTTCATCCTTGTCTTGGCAGACCAGCCCATTTGGACAGGCTGAATTTCCCAGCAAACTAAGGAACTCCAGGGAAGGGGCTACTTCAGCCAAGTGGTCCAACAAGCCTTCCAGCTCTGTTATGTGTCCAAGGGTTAAGGATTTCATGACGTTAACAACAAGGAAAGTTTTAATCAACATTGTGCTTCTCCCACCCCAGCCCTCCAGCATGGTCCCAGAGCATGCATTAAGGGTTCAAATGCCAATGTTTTTATTTATTTATTTATTTATTTGCTTGTTTGTTTGTTGTCAGTTGCTTACAAAATAATAGGTATAAGTAAAAACATAGTTATGAATACATGGATACATATAAGAAAAATAAAATAAAATAATAAATAAATAAATAAATAAAAGAAACAATAGGACAAGGACGGTAGGCACGTTGGTGCGCTTATGCACACCCCCTACAATATGTGATATATATGATATATGATATATGATATGATGATATGGGTGGCAAATGATTTTAATAAATAGATAGATAAACAAGCTTTTAATTGACATTGGGCCATCTCCCTACCAACATGGTCCAAAGACATGGATTAGGGATTCAGTGAAGGGTCCTTGGGGCTCTCTGAGCTTGATGTTTTTTTTGCAGACGTTTCATTACCCAACTAGGTAACATCATCAATGCTAGAAGGGAGGAGGGTTTGGCAGAGAGGAGGAAGAGGAGGAAGACTGTGGAGTCCTCTGAGCTTGCTTGTTTTCTTGTTAGACATTTCATGACTCAATTAGGTAACATCATCAGTGCTAGTAAGGAGTGGGGTTTGCTCTCCGTTTATATTCTGGTGTCTTGCCCTGTCAGTGTTGGTGGGTTTCATCTTAGAGATTATTTGGTTGGGCTGTTTGCTCTTGGTTCTTTGGCACTTTCTTGATTGGGGTGTTGTTTACCCCATTTAATTACATTAACACATAGGAAGCTTGATTACAAAGACACACACACACACACACACACACACACACACACA